ATTTGTGTTCACTTTTGTAGCACAAATACTAATGGAATATATGTGTGCTCAAAGTTATCTCAACGCTGCACTCGACTGGCCCATATTTTGTTTTCATAGAATTTCGCAATTCAAATTTCCACGCTGCTATTTGCAACATGCACACACAAAATTAGTATCTAATTTGTCAAATTTTCTCCCTGATGCATTCTGCGCCTACCAAACGACACAATCGCAATGATTTCCATTGTTCATAATGATGGAGCACTAAATTAACTGTACAAATTTAAATTATTTATTTGGAATGGCATGCATGGTATGCTTTCGATCATGAACGAATATAAATATTACATATGTTATTAGTTGAAATATTTGATACTCAAATTCTACTCAATAAATATTGTGTGGAATTTACCGGATATCGTGTATTTTAATCCGACATCCAAGTTTAATTTTAATTTAATAGTTTGAAACAAGGTGCAAAAGAAACGTGTAGTAACACGAGTAATTTATTTTCGCAAGTTTGAACGCTCGATAAAAACTGAAACAAAAAATAGTTGTGTAAAGTTGAGAAAATTACCCGCTGGCAATTGAGATTTTGCGCACGTCTTTCAGTTTACGCTAGCGATAAATTCGAACATTTAGTATTGCAAAGCAGCAGCAGCGAGACAAAAAGTCATCGACCAAAAACCGCAGATTTTCCGATTTCATTTTTCTATTTGTCCGACTTAGCATTCGTTCTTGTTTTTTGGCGAATTGTCATTATTCTTCCAGCCGCGCGCTTGTATCAGAGTCAGTCGCAACTCGAAGTCGTACATCTACCAAACAAAAAGCTCCCAAAGTAAAAAGTCCGTCCGACCAACAAAAAAAAAAGGAGAAAAACAATCTCGGAGAACGCCCGCGACGAAAAACTTTCTCAACAGGCTTTCGCGCAGGATGCGCGCAGAACAAATGCCTCGACGTTTTACATTTATGGAACTTTAGTCGGATATAAATAGTTTTTACTGGTCCGCCAAGTGTAATTTGCCTTGGCTAACTTGCGCCGACTCGGCAAGCAACTTTTATTGTATCATATTTTGTATGCGCGCGCGCCACTGCCGTTTTCTATGCAAAACTGCGATGAATTTCCGTCGCGAATATTAAGCATCGTTCAAGCGGCACGAGCACTACTCGAGGCTATTGTTTTATAAAAATTGTTCCGTAATGAAATCGTAAACACAGCCTCTCACAGAAAACCTGTATCTATCGAGATAGATTTTCTATTTATTTTATACATTTGCATAAATTTATTGAATCTGTTAAAATGAAAGAAAATAGAGAAAGTTGCTCTGCAATATGCACAAAAAAGAATATGCCGTTAGCGTAATGCGCCGGACGCGTCGCTGGAAATTAATTAGTATTTCATTACTTGTTTAAACACTTTAGTTCGGTTCCGTGTTTCTGAATTAGATTTTATGTATAGCTGTATATAGCATAATACCAGCATGGCTAGGGTTCGCGCTCGCGAGTGAATTTATAGAGTTTGGCGAGTTTGTGTGTAATTACTTTTTAGATTATATTGTCTTACGCTGGGTCGAATGGGAGCGCGCAGCGCACGAGAACTTGATTTAATTTGCTTTCCATTCTTTCTGCGCTTGCAACATTTATTGTCGTGCCACGAAATGAATCATTCGAATCAATCGTTTCGCTGAATGTCGGCGATCAAAACACACAAACAACGACAACAAATATAACAACAACTATCTTCATGAAAATATTGTTACTGCACATGTTGTTTTAATATCATACGGCAATAATAAAGTACATGGAATTTAAAAAAATGTAAAGCTTGCGTCATAAATCAAATCCGTGCTGAAATTAGATTAGTGTTGAATGGTAGGTATTGCACGTGCGCACGTGCAATAAACGCGATAACTACCGCGAGCGTATTTATTGTTTTGCGGGCACAATGCGCTGCCACCAGCACTACCATTGAAGCGATAAATGAATGTTGTGGCGAGAATTACACGTGATATTACGAAGATATTGACCCGTCATGAATCAACGCCTGGGTATGGAAGTGGTCAAGCACAACAACCACATGCAAGGCCGATTTCACCGCCAACGCCGCCGCCATCGATGATAACTTATTTAGCCCAGAGTACAAACTCGAGAAATTCGTATACGAATAGTGTAAAGCTATTATTATTACTTGATCCACTTCGACCTCGAGTCATGATCGACACGAATGCGCTTTACGGAATACTCCACGTCCATCCGGGTTGATATGGGTTTGTTGGGCCGCTACGAATTGATAGAAAAAGAAACGGACATAATTGGAGATTTATTACTGCATTTTGCCTGCGAGCTTGAAAACAACCAGCGAAAAGATGAAATTTTAACTTTATGCAGATTTATTGCAGTGTTGCGCTTGTGGAAAAAGATTCAAAGGCAGAAATATGTGTTTTTATTTTAAACTTGACTAAATCAGCAAAACTCGAAGAAATACCATTATAAATAAAAAGTTACATTTTTTAATAATGAAGTGATTCATTAATTAAACCTTGGGCGCCGCTAACAAGTATTTCCTTAAAAAATAAACGTCGCTTTTTAATTAACTGCCTAGCGAGTGGTTTGAAGTGTTTCATTCGAATGCCAGGCATAAATTTCGAAAAATGATTTTTACGTCAATCGTAAATATTTTACTGCTTCGTAACACTTCTAACATCATTATCTGGCTGCGTTGCCAAAGTTGTACCGAATTTAATTTCACAATGTGGCTCCCTGCCGGCGTTTAGCATTCAACATTATCGAAAAGTCAAAAGTAACAAACCGTACCATTTATACTTAGTTGGCGTGTGTATCTGTATATCTCTGCCGCCGCTTGTCCTAAGTGAAAATATCTCCGAGTGTCGGTTTTGCCATATCGTTTCGCACAAACGTATCGTCGCGAATTCAAGCATTTCAAGCGCATCCCTCTTTTCGTCTACGCTGGGAGCGACTCGGGCGCGAGTTATGTAAAGTTTGCATTATCAAGTTTTAGGCTCCAGCAGTTTAGTTGTTGATTGCGGGGAGAGTTTCGGTTGTGCGATTTCGACGCCGACGTCGACGTTGAGATGACGAGCGGCATGACGACAACGTCTGCCAAGTGTGCATGCATCAAGAAACATAGAAAATCCATTAGACAGTTTCAAGTAACCGCAAACCAAGGCAAAATCTCACGCGAAAAAAAGCCTGCTTATTGATATACAAGATAATCAAAGAAAACTTTGATTGAAGCAAAGTACAAATTCACAGTCTGCGTTGTCAACAAAAAAATGAAACAATTTATACGCCTCCCAAGAGGCGGAGATTGATCTCTAAAAACAATACGGCCATGACAAACAAGCACAATTACATCTGGGGCGGGTAATTAATGGATGCTGGAAGTATTTATCAAGATTCCTCGCTCTCTGGGCCCCTCCTGCCAGCCGTGATCCCTTATATATCTTCCTTGATTCCATCGCCGCGCCCAGCATCCCCAGCATTCCGCATTGAAAACTACGTAATCCTCGAGGGCTGGCAGGTAATCACAATTTCTGATAAACGCTCACTGCGAGTGTGTGACAACAGCAGCACGCCCAAAAATGTCTCGCGCGTAAATCCGACACAATCCAAACAATGCGCCAACATTTTTTACGAATTATAATTAACGGGCTTTGCTCGTACTGCATCGGTGTCGGACCGCAGGCAATATATATGCAAATCGTCGAAGGCGGTCAGCGAGTGTGTCCGGCGATCGGCACGAAGTCGTTCGTTTCTTTCTGCGGTGTGTGTCGCCTCGCATTGTACTTTACGATATCGGGGGACTGGAGCGCCATGCATGCGCATCTTGTGCATCGTAATTTTTAACTCGCGCCACGCGAGCATAATAAGATTTAATCGTTTTATGTGCACTTAAAAATAAAAATATTCAAACCGTTACCTTGCAGGGTCTCGCACACGGGCGAAAAAAAGCAGCATTCGAAAGGCTTGAAAACGTTTTGTTCGTGTTTATAGCGACAATGGTAAAGACGCGGTCGAGATATTTATGCGCATACCACAACGTTTACACGCGGCATCAATTAGCTCTGTTCTGCATATCTTCGCTGGCATCATCGGGCTTAATGTCAAAATATGTGCGTTTTAAATAAAAAACGCTCGTAAAAGATGCGCGCGATAAACTCGTACGCAGGTGATGTCATAATGCATCACAAACAAAGACGTGCACGAAACGTGCAAAAAACAAAAGACTGCACTTTGGCATAGAAAATAAAACTCTTTTTAACTGTTCGTGACGCGGTCGAGCTGAGTGTACGAATGTGATTTATGAGGGACTTATGTTAATTACTCGTGTCGCCAAGTCCATGGCTGGACCGCCAGGAATTTCTTCAGTGCGCGCACACGTACGATTTATCTCCGGATTATAAATCGCGCGAGGTTAGTTTTAAGGTCGCGCTTTTGTCTTTTTGTGTCCGGGGCTCTTTTGTACACACGGTCACCGTAAATATCGCATTAAAATGCAGTAGCCTCAGTGGTTGGGTCAAATTCATCAGCGTCGAATTCTTTTCATCCAAATTACACACATTTAGAGGGTTGTTGCAAATGCCAGCGGTATGTGTGTATTCATTTGATAAGTACTTGCTTACCTACATAGCGTTTTTCAGATGCTCAAAAAACATCCACCGCGATCGCTGTGTGTGGAGCAAAGAGATAAAGTGATTAAAATCTGCGCTAACGGTTGAGAACGCTTCTATATTGGGATGCTGTGGGAAGCGTAGGAATGCGAAAATGTCTTCTTTAATGTTACTCTAAATCTTTATTCAAATAACAGCTTTTAACAAATATCACCTGATTAATGGTCAGCATCTAAATAGGAAACAGCACGTTAAATGTAAAATGTTAAGATATTTCTTGTCTCCAGACAAACGCACAAGCAACAGTTTTAATGACACATTAATTATTTACTAAAAGATGTCTTTGGTTAATAATGTTATTCATGTGAATATATGAATTCTATTTACCTGAACGTTAGGAAACGAGCGCAAAATTCCTTCCGGCATGTTTGTTCCGCAAAGCAGTGCGCACAAAGGTCACGTACCATCCAGAAGGCATATCGCAATCCGCACAGCGCACATGTAAGACGCTCCCGATTCACTTTGATCAGCTATAATTTTATTCCATACTTCAATACGCGCGACATGTACAAGACAGCGGAATTATGTTTCTCGCGATATGTTAATAAACTCGTGTGTCTAATCCGCGAACGTGCGCGTTCGATGCCGGTTTGGTAGTTTTTAATTTGTGGCGCTTTGTGCACGAAGCACGTTCGCAAATTCACAAGCGGCGTGTGGTTTTGATCACTTTTGGAACACTTCACTAATTAAATTGGCACCTCCACTACCAGCACACGTGTTCGAATGTATTAAATTTTGATATTTTCACAGGGTGAATATTAAATGAAAAACACGCTTTGGATTTCGGATTTGCTACTAGTGTGCGAGGTAGTGAGCAACAAGTTGCTGGTTTCCACGTGCTTTCCCTGCCAAGGCGTCACATACACACAATACACTCACACAGAAACGATGCGCGTCAAACACGTCTCCGGTTAGGTGTTTAGTCTTACGAGAGGTTTTGGTCGGAGTGTTTAACCACGCGACACGGTCGAAACGGTCGACCGCAATTAGCAGCGGGCACAAATTTCGGTCCGGGTCCAGCGACGCGCACTTAAACGCCGCGAAGAGGTACTTAAGTCACTTACGAGCGCGCGCGCCTCCGACGCACGTTTGTCTTACCTTCAGCTCTTGCATCTAGTCACCAGTGTTAAGTCAACCTACCATCTCTTCTGGGCGTCGTGGACGACCCGCGAACCGGTTGCTGCCAGCTACTGTTACAACTCATCGGGCGTCCAACACAACGCGCATAAACCGACCTATCACTCAGTTAGTCAGTACCTCAACTCCTTTCTTCAACACATGTATGACCATTAACTTGATGTTATAATGATTCGTTGTTTGGTAACGCGTCAATATCTGGAGTTAATGCACGTTGCAACATCGTTGCTTCAGTTTTCTTTCTTACCATTAGCGAGGACAATAACTCACGGCGTGAAACATGCGATGTATGCGACCATGTGCACATCGGGATTGAAGCAGTAAAGCCAACAACAAAAAACCAGCTAGCACCAATGAGCAAGAGCAAGAATGGAAGAAGAAATCCGAAGGAATTGCTTGGTTGTAACCAAGCAGAGTCAGATCCTAATTTAGAGCATCAGCGGGAAGCATTCGACTTATATTGCGATTTATAACGTAATTACGACGGCATATTCTGGCTCCGGAGCGTAGGTTTCTCCGTTTGGCTCGTCGCGTCGGGGAGGACTTTTTATTTAAAGCGTCTGGACGCTGCCCGGACTCCGCCGACCTGTACAAATAAATCGTGCACAAATCGATGCGATTCTTTTCGTATTACTAAACGACCTACTATTTTAATATACCGAATGTTTCAACCTATACCCATACTCAATTAATCGAAGGCTTATTTTTATTTTTAAACAAATAACAAATTAGAAACATTAACCCAGTTTACCATAGGTTATTTTTCGCGTAGACCTGAAACTTCTCCGGGTTGACCACTGACCCATTCTTCTTTCAAGGACCGCAGGGACTACCGGTAGCTATTTATGACCCACAAAAGTCCCACTTTGGAAGGAAGTAAAAAATATCTCACACAAAGGTCCCATATTTCAATGCGTACGTACAATTTTTTAAAGATTTCGATTTGGGCCTGCAGGGCACTCGGTATATTAGATTACACCTCTATGTTATTGTTGAACGATTACCCAGCGCAAAATATACGACATGGCGAGCAATTTGATTTATAAACAAACATTGGTCGGCGAATTAATTGAACGCAATTAAATTGAAAACGCTTACGCTGTAGAAATGAATGACTTCCAATAATAATCATTCTCATTGTTGGGCATTCGTGGTTCGCATATTGCGAGTATGCAAGAGTGGATATCGGGCTTGATTTCGCTGAAGCGAACAAAGGGCATGCAAAAACAGAAAATAAAAAAAAACGAATACACCGCAAAAACATTGAGTGGCAGAGGAGAGTTGTGAGCAAAGTGCGCCAATATCTAGATAAACTTTGCAATATGCATCCAGTTGGGAAATTGTGAGTGAGTAGAGGACCTAGAGGTACAGTCTGAATTGTAATTTATTCTGTAGTTTGCCATCGGAGGGAAAACACATTTAGAAATATGCATTTCCTCGATTGATCTATTACTGCGAGATGAAGTCGAATGCGTGTTTGGGTTGGTAGCGAATTTCGAGCGGAGTTTTCGAGGTGATTTTCTGCATTACGCGAATGGGTAATCTGTGCCTGGGCCGCTTCGGGTGATTGAACGATTCGTCGCGGTGATTTCGTACGTGACCGTTCGGCCCGCGTTCCGCTTCGCATACCAGCTTGCATATATTCCAACGTCCGTGAGAGAGCAGCGGGTCGAGAGTCGACATGTCGAGACCTCCGTAGGTGTGTGGAGCACAACAGAGCGACCTTGTCGATGTTCGCGAATCGCAACTCGTATTGTACAAGAGCGCGGAATGTGACCTCATTTCGTTTAAGCGCGTTGCACCTACTTCTTACGCAGGACAAATGCTCAGCAATGGCTCAAGAAAAAGTCTTCCATCGAATGCCCGAAACCTGAACGGAAAACTTGAATTTTCGATTTTCGGCCAAGATTCATTGATTGCGATTTATATTCCTCTACCACAATATAGCTATAATTTTTCACATAGAAAAAACCCACGTCAAAAGCAAATTTTGCTTTTGTTTATTGTATTTGAAGGGTGTGCAAACGGTTTTAATTCGACCATTGCGTTCGCGACAGGTCCTGAAGCAAGATAAACAGGATATCATTCCGGCTAATGCCGGTTATATATTTAGATCGTTTAAGGAGTCCATTAACTATAACACTAACATTAGTCTACAGTTGAGAGAGTGGTCGGGACGCGGGTGCACTGAACGGTGGCTCATTCTCAAAGACGTTTTGCGTGGTAACTCGGTAACGACGCGCGGAGCGAACTTTTGCATTATGCATGAGCCCATGAGCCATAGGAAATACATGCAATTGAATTTAGAATAATATTTGCTTCCTGCGACGAGGGAATGACTGGCGTTTTGGGGCTGTTATTATTAGAAATAAATTAGACGATTGAAACGTCTGCTGATCAAACCCTTCATAATTTCCTAATGTCTTTGTGAATATGATATGCATTTTTACTCTGCTTATCAGCCAGCACACGTGTTGTTTGTGTTTTTTGTGCGTTAATTAATTTAATTGTAGGAAACTCCGAAAGTTGGTGGAGCATTCGTTTTTTAACTCTTCTAAAATGCCGACGTGAAAGCGAATGCAATGCGCTGCCCAACTAAATTCAACACCGAAAAGTTAATCAAAACTTTTTGTTAGGTCGGCCTCTACGCGCCAGGGCTATGTTTCAAAGCTAATACATGAGGGCTAACTTTGCAACAAACGAACGGCAAGAGTCAGACAATTAAAATTTCTCATAGAAATTATTCGAATTGATATCGTGCTTTTCAGAGTCTGCAGCTTGGTCCATTTGGCGCCAACTCAAAGTAGACTGCAATGCATGCCAAGATCAGATATTTATTGCCATCCGCATCAAAAAGTTTAAAATGTAATTCAAGCAACGTCTGTGGATTTTTGGCTGCGCAACAATTTGTTTTTGTTCAGCAATTAACCCAAAAATGTCAATTTTCTCTGAAGGAATGTGGAGAATGTAAAGAATTTCCCAACATGACTGTAAAAACGCCACCCCTTGGCAGTAGGGAAACAAGGTTACATAATAGTTGTCTGTCTGATGTCTGCGGGCATGTTTGCGCAAGCTAAAAACATACTTTGCATATACACGTGTCGCACACAGGCGCTCACCACGTGTAGGCGTGGAGTGGTCGGGGTGGGCCCCGCGTGTGGTGAGCAGGAATTCGAAGGAGCACGGCAGGCATGCCTGGCACGCCGGTCCACGCCGGCGGTACGGTGTAGGAATTGATTTCTGCCAACTATTAACTCGACGCTAAAGTGTTTTCGTCTTCGTTCGCGCGAAGGGAAGCTCCCTCACGCGAGCGCGTGGCACTCGCACCATCAAAGTCACAGTCGATTGTCTAACGAGGTTTAAACGTTCCGAACGCACGCTAGTCGAAATCGAAATGCTTGTAAAATACACGAGTGGGTGCAAAAACATTCGCGAAACGTGCGGCAAAACAATTTAAAGTATTATTCCATGTTGATATCAATGGTTATGAGTGCGGAATTGGAGGTAGTCTATAAATTAAATCTAATTTATTGAGACTGCAGGAATATTCGTACGAGGTTCAGGTTCAGGCATTAATTAGCTTGCTAGCTTGTGCTGCAGCCAAGCGAAGGAAACCCACTCGTTGGAACAAACATTTCCCGCAAGCGTAACGTTTTTTTGCGTTCCTTTGGAGTGATTTATATACTCGCCAATTTAAACCCAATAAAAATACGCGAAAAATATTATTTTACTTAATATAATTATTTGGAGGGTATTGTGACATTCGCGACAGGATGAGAAGGCAAAGGAAGCTTGGTAAGTACCTTCGTCACGAGTCAGAAGACAAGATTTTACCATGGTGGAGGCGCCACCATCAACGTTCACACGCCATTTTGGCCCTGAGTCTATTGTTGACTCCACATTCCACTCCGGTTTGGATGCGTCATGTCGTCGTCATTGTTCCTGCGTTGTTCGCTTATGAAAGAGTAAGTTAGTTATAGTTGGACCGGGGAGTCAAATGCGACGTTATTAATGTGGAAGCTAATTATATACGCTAATTAATTACGGCGCGCGGCGCACAATGCGGGCGCGTCGTCGAAATTTCGTCGGGATGAACACATTCCAATTCGGATTTGGATTCCGATGTTATTTCACGCGGCGACGTCACTGGAAGTGCGACCGGCGGGCACATATCAAGACATCCGCAATGGTATTTAGAATTTGAAATGACTTTATGATGCGACGACGGGCGACAAAACAATGCAAGCCAAATTACAATATATTAACACGAAGGCGTTCGCAATTCGCGGGTGATTAGTGTTAATTAATAATCGAAAACGGACGTTTGAGAAGCGGTACAAAGGCAGAATTCCAACCCTGTAACCATGACGTGTATTGTTTCACATCTCAAGGTAAGCCCGCACAAAAGCTTTGGGAATTCGGGCGCTAGCAAAATTATGAAGTTAAATTGTGTGTGTGTGTGTTGTTTCTTGGCGGCGTCTTATCTGAATAGTAAACAAATTCATGCCTCTAAGAAGGCACGTGCAGAGTCTGCAGCGGACTACAAACGATCGGACGGATTCATTATCCAATGATGCGCGCGGCGCCCGTGCGAGCGTTCAAAGTTCAGTTAGTGGCGGTTTAATTAAGTTAATACGGGGAAAAGTTAAATACTCTCGTAAATCATGATTTGATATTCGAAAAGAGCGCGCCGAGCTGATCGAGGGCCGGCGCTCCATAATTACATCTCACTCAAACGAAACGCCGCACTCGGCTTTGATGCTCCAACGCTGATGCTTGAAATAATAAAAAACTCCTGCTGGCATTCGCAGGCAATCGAAACGAGCGCACCTACATAACGACGTTGATGTCGTTGATGTTGACGTCGGCGTCGATGTTTTATGGTCGAATACGGTCTTGTACTAGAAACAGCAGCGGTGATCTAGTTTGATATGCGGATTGTTGGGATTGCCATACGGAGGCGATAAGCAAGTAAAATATGAGACGATTGGCAGAGACGGCTGAAGGTTTATTTTTAGAACTCAATTGTGCATACGAATATTGTCGCTACGATACGTTGTTACATATTGAGCAAAAGATGTCATTATCGCAGTCAACAGATGTGAAAAACTGTAAAATACATGAATTTTATAAAAATCTGAGAATATGCATGGATGAAAATTACAAACAATTTTTTTCTTGTTTTATTTAGAAAATAGTCCAATTTAAATGATGGTTTGAAACATTTTCAACATAAAACTAAACAATCATGCCGAATTCAAAGCGCACTTGAAAGGGAAACAAGCAACAAGCCAGGCGGGAACCATTACATCCACTTCCGGCTATTCAGTGTCTACCCGCTCGACCTTTGCCCGGCGCCTCCACACTATACCACGCAAAGCGAAATTAACTCGTTGCAGCCACCAATTGTAAATAGCAATTATTCAACATGAAATATTAATATTTTTATAATAATATGCATTGCTGAGTTATTCATTCAAAACCCGGCAATAATTGAATTTATTTCTATTCGTTGTCGATATAAATAGTCGTCGAATCCATCAATGCTCGCGGCGCGCTGACATATACCGAAGATATTTCAATATACGTACGTACGCAAAATGATAGCGAAAATATTTGTACAATTCATATTTGCGAATTGAATTGAATAACGCATGTGCCAGCAAGCAGATGCGACAGAAGGAAGAATTCTCCTTTTGCGCACAGCATCGTCGCCCCGGCGTCGTCGTCGTGCTTGTGTTTGAATAATCTATGCGGTGAAATTTAGCGTGAATGTCTTTTATGATAAAGTAATACGCTCCCGACTCATTCGCAAAATTTATTTATGTTTGCGCACATTCGCGCGCATTTATCTGCGTGTCGTGCAATGGATTGTTTTATTGCTGGCGCGACGAATAAAAAAACAAACAAGGTGTGCACAAACAAACGTGAAATTATTGATTTGCATTCAATACGAAAGCAGTGTTTTTTTCTGTCGGCGACCATAAACGATTTATCATTATCTTTTTATCCAGTCGGTAATAAAACATTTGAATGCGTTTGTCTGCCAAAATGTTAAATTGAACTAAAAGAAGAGTCAAACAAGAGACATGATGGAAACAACCAACAACCCTTGAACGCCCGGGAACAAAGTACCGTTCGGCGCAGAGGTGGAACATCTCTTCGTTCCGTGCCGGTGAAGCTGACACGCATCCCCAGCCAGTTCCGCAGGTTTATAAAACTTAATGCGCGAGGACCTCCCTCGAATATGTTACTCCTATTAAGTAGTTTAATTAAAGTAAGACAAGTCTAGCGGGACGGGCGCGTTTGTAAACCAGAAAGAAGACATACCAAACGACCCCGAAAGCTCAGCTGTCGGAGGACTAAAATAACTCCGCCGAGATACAATAAATCCTTAAAGGACATTATTCCACGCGGTGCACTCGGGAGACATCTTCAAAGCGATCGTAAACAATGTGCATTGTGAAACGTCCGAATTATTATGAATGTTAATTAGTTCAATTCAAAGTATCAATTAATTAGAATTTAAATCTGTTGGATGAGCGAGAGGTGCAAGTCTCGACGGAGCATGCACTCGGTATGCGCGACGCGGGAGAACCGTAAAGTAGCTATTTTTATCTCCGACGTACAGTTTGATAACTTTTAGTTTTAATTTAATGACTTTCGTCCTTCCCCCTGCGCGCTTTCGTGAATTGAATGTCGAGCGGCGTTTTACTCCGGAACTCCGGAACAAACACGTGAAGAGCGCCCCGCCGGGAGATGCTTTAATTTTAAATTGCATTCAATTAAAAATATTCACATATTCATTAGTAATAATCAATTGAATTCGATGTTCAGGATATATGAGTATACGTATTGAATGTTTACTCACGTTCATAAAGCAGAAAACTTAGTTTTCCGCACTGGAGAGTAGAAAATCGTATTTCTGCGCCCAAAAGTTTGTAATTCCGAGTTGGTTGTGGTGCAATAAGTTTTTCGCGAGCGCAACAGCACCAAAAAAACTATTTATATGCTAGTTTCTAGGAGTTTGTAAAGTATGCACACGCATGCAGGCGATTGCTGTACACACGTGATCATACGAAGCACGAAGGACTCCAAAAATAAGTGCCAGAAGTTAGTAATATGATTTAGATGTAGGATGTCCCGGATGTTGCTCCGGAATCGTGACCAGAAGTTTTGACTGCATAATATACTTATATAAAATTTAGCACTTCGATTTCGTGCACATTTTGAAACCAGACGGCATGGAATTTGAGAGAAGAAAGATCTGTTACGCACGCCTGCTCTTGTTCTATTTGCCTGCGCCCCCTGTGATTCTCACCAGTCCGCTATTACTTAATTCTACCCTCTGTCGAACATCTGGCGGACGAACTGGTTTATAATATATATTGTTCTGCCGTGTATCAAACGCGATGATATATAATTTCCAATAAAGCGCGATCGCGCCCGCCTCCCGCCGTTCGATCATCGTTCGACTAGGACTAGGAGATATGACGAGGGGGTGGGGTGCGCGAGTGTTGGCGCTCGTCTTCGGTGTGTGCGAAAGAGCGGAAGGTTATGAAGTGTGAGCGGGCGCAGCTGGTGTTGACGGCGACCGGGCGTTATGTGCACGTGGATATCAAATATTGAAAGTAGAATATTTCGTCGTGTAAGACAGTAAAGTTTTGGCATCGACGGCGACAGATTTTTTGCGTGCGCAGTAGAGAACACCTACAATGCCATTACGACTGACAGCGCGTGTGCATGCAAAGCTGCGGTGATCTATCGCGCCAGTAAATTTCAACGCTATTGCCGAGTTTTGGACCGTTTGCTTTGAGGATGCACGGGCTGACAGTAAGGTATGACGCTTCTTGCACTGCACATTGTGCACAGTACCTTCGTTAATGATTTATATTGAATATCTGTGGGATGCGCTCGTTGCAATTGGAATATTACTCGAGGGTGTAATATTTCTGGTGGCCTGTTAGCATACCGTTTTGCCACTCGAAGTGGGTCAAAAGGAGCCGTAAACATCCTGCAATAGTTTCCGATAGGAAACGATGCCGTTTCTGCTATCGGATGTACCTACCTCTGCGTATATTTCGTAACGCATACATATTTTGCACTCATCAATTACAACGCTCTTGCTGCGGTTCGAAACTCACAAGAACAAAGAAAATTAACTCACAGATTATTTTTTATATTATGTGACGTCACTGTTGAGTTAATTCCTCTGATTTTAATTAAAACCACCAAATTTATTCATTGTGTAGTTGTAGTGAGCTAATTTTATAAATAATGGTTGGCTGTATAAAAACAAAAAGGAAGTGTTAGATTGTCGAATAAAGTAGAACGCAAATTGGTTCGCCGCCAAAGCAATTTATTTTTTCGCCACGCGTTTCGCGGCTCTGCAGATAATCTATAAAATACCGATGATCGTCTACTACAACTCCTCGCCTGCTGTCTGCGCCATTGACGATGCAACCTTTGCTACCAGCGCGGCTTCACATTAACGTGATGAGATGAGCAGGTGATTGCTATATGGCGTCGCTCGAGCTAAGTGATTGAGCTTTCATTCTCTTTTTTGTGTGTGCGGTGTCGCCCCTTATCGACTTTATGAGGCGTCGCATCGTTTGTTCCGCCAGACGTCGGGTCGCGAGCGCAGGCATCTTATCGCGACGCAAAGTCAAAGTCGATATTGCATCATGCGGATCTATGACCCATGCGAGATAACGTATTGTTTAGCTGACGGCCGGCAATGAAATCCCTCATAACATTTACCATAGGTGATGATTTCTGTGATGAAAGGGCCGGACAAGAAGTGGCAAGGAAGAAGGAGTAAAGAAGCGCGGTTGTGGAGCGTGCGTGGCGGCTGCGACGGGCAGCACGTGGATCCTGCTGGGCCTGCGCTGCCGCCCGCACACAGTAGGGATGCCACTGAGCGCGCCGCCGCTCGACGCTCAGATATCGCGTGTCGTTCGCAGCGTGCGCTTGTTCTGTCTCGGGTAATGCTACCGGTGATACGTCGTCATGCTGCCCGCGCTGCTAGTGCTAGCGTTGGTCCTACCAGTGCTTCTTTTAACGGATCATGTCGATGGTAAGCAAATTATTAAATATTATCCACCATAAAAAATAAAATTCCTAAAAAGTTTGGTATTCGACGCAATTATTCGATAAATCAGCAAGTTTACCATGTTTACACGCGCCGAAGTCAATTACAGCAATTACCGTCAGTAAATCACGCCATCCTCTCTGTGTGTGCGGCGTGTCGCCGTGGAAAAGATTACGGGGCGCAACTAGCGAAACCGCATCTCGTCGGACCGGGAACATGGTACGTGGGGGGCAAACTTCGGACAGTCTTCGGGCGAAGTTGGCGCGACCGCGGAGAGACATATTTCACAGCGGCACCGGGCGGAACCGAACGAGCCCTTTAACCGCGCACCGTGTTCGGAAACATCGCCGCCTCCGCAAGACGACGTTCGAACACACATCCCGTAGCCGTGCTCCCGGAACACGAAAACTTTGCTCTAATTATATGCGCGTCAACCGGAAAAGAATACAGCGAGCGACTCGCTCCGTCACTTCAAAGATTGACTGCACAAAAACTCGAGCTAAAAGCTTCTAATTAAATGCATAAATGATTTTCTATTCATAAATGTTTTGCGACGGAATGAATAATAATTAAAAGCTTTATGTTGTGTAGAGGGTATAAATATTCCGGGCGTAATTAAAACCGAAGTGAGTTCGTGTGAACTAATGAAGTGGTGCATTGGTCGACGGCTCGGGGCGGACGCGCGCGCCAAATAAACGAGAGAAAAGAAACGAGAATAAAGTTGCGTATAGCGGCGGCGGCGGCGGTGGTGGCAGCATCCTGAGTGTGTGTCTAAGTAATGAACGAAGCGACGTGCAAGACTTTCGAAAGTCCACATTAGCCGGGCGCTGCGGGTGCCCTCAGGACAGGAGTCGAGGAGTTATGGCTATTGCCGGATATAGATCGTGTTCCGCCGCTTCTTGGGGCGTCTTTCCGCTCCGACGGTCGCCTTCCATACAGTGCGTCTCCGGCTGCCACTGCCGTTTGGCCAATCTCCAGAAGATGAATTGTAGGCCTCGACTAACGACCCGGCTATTGCGGCGGAGAAAATGCAACGCGCCGATCCATTAGGCAAACTCGCTGGGTGGCATTTATCTCGCGTCGCGGCTTTGCACCCTCCAGCGACACTTCGAACGCGTACAATAAACATATCTCTCGAGATGTATCAGACATATCGTTAAAGTTTGTTACGCGCTTGTATGTCTTGCGCTGCGACGAGATGAGCGCCGATTTAACGTGATGGAAATTTTGGCGTAGCGACATCGACGTGGCGGGAATGTTGTTGTTTGGAATGCGAAGCGCGCGGAGGGTACGTGCGGGCTCTTTATACTTCAGTTGATATGTAAACCGCGTTCGCCAGATGCACTTTGACGTCTGCAGCACGCCTGAAATGAATATTTCTTTTCGTTTGTCAACGCGTCGACATACCACTTCGACATGTCGACATTGCATCACTCCGCCAGCGAGATTGCTTGCTATGATTTGCATTAATCTTATTTTTCAAAAAACAAAAAAAAAATCTTTAAATTTGGTGGAGCTATACCTTAATTAACAGATATATACAAATAGGTATAGTTACCTTTCTTGACTGTTGATATAATAGTTCGATAACACCATTTTGATTCCGGTTGTCTTCGCACGAAAGCGTTAGACAGCTCCCGAGCCCAATATGAACATATCACATCTCATCGTATCGTCGCTATAATATTTTCGCTTCATTAATATTCGTAGCGAGCATAACCCATCATGTCGTCCGTGGCCGGGAGAGAGCCACCTTCGCCACCCGCTCACTCCGCCGCGCTTTTTGATTGATGAGCTCCGCAACGACCAATCTTCTCCCTTTCGCGCGGCGCCTCCACCAACCCCGCCGTCACAAAATGTAAACGAACGCAAATTGGCCCAAGGACTACATTATACCCACGCGATGGTCGCACGCCTTGGCAGATTGCAAGATTTACCTGATGTTGATTCAGACGAGCGCGCTGGGGATGCCAATGATCGATCCGACCTCGCAAGCCCAGCGCGCCAACTTATTACAAAATGCACCTTTCAATTGGGTATTAACGACACCGACGCGCCTCCAATCTGCGCGGACAATAAATCATTAATAATCCCAGCCGGATCATATTGCCACGTCGGTTCCGGATGGTCCACTACATCGCGCGTGGCGTCGTAATATTTTTCGCGGTATTGCGGTAATGAGCTTTGCCACTGGCGTGGAAAACGAATCATGCCGAGTTAGCACTGAGGTGAAGAGCTACGGAAATATCTTCGACGCACTCACAGACAAATGACCTCAGTTTTATTTATCTTGTTGATTATAATTAGAAACTTTGCAACCGGCAGAATCTTACGCTTCAATATTTGCTTCTCAAATTCTGAAAAACCTTATGAAATTAAAACGCTGCCTACTTGGTAGTCAATAAGCGTATCTTTGGTTGAATAACAGTAAAACACTCAAGAACGCAACGCAAATACGAAATAAGTCTCATCTCCGTCGCGGTTAAAAGAAATTTACATTAATGTGCGGCGCGCAAGCAACAGCAGGTACCGCGCATCGATTTTGAATGATTTATTTATAAAATCGTGTGTTTTTTTTTTTAACCGGTAACTTGAGGCGCCTCTTGAATCAGTTATGGATCATAATGGTTATAAGTATGTATGAGCCGGAACTACGCAAACTTTTTTCCTTGAGGGTGGAAATTCGTTTTAAATCTTTTGTCGCTCGAAACGACCTAAGCTGCGCGCAACTTTCGGTGAGAAGATTTTAAAGACAAATTACGTTATGGTGATCAAGCATAATGTCGAATATAAAAAAAAAACTTTGCTGCCTTGGGAAAGTGCCGAGGTAAGAAAATAAGTTGAATTTAAACTTGAAGGTGAATAGTAATGCTGTCGGAAAAAATGTTTTGTTCAATTAGGCTAATACTACCATTATTTATTCCTATTCCTTACGGAGTGTCTAAAAGATCAATATATTTTATGGCCGCAAGTCCGGGTGTTTTTTAAGAGAAAACAGAGAGGTAGATTTCGGGCACGAAAAATAAAAATGAGAGCGGAATTAAGCGAAGCCATTAGTGCAATAAATAATGGCGGCCACATTAGGGTCGTAATGTATTCTTGTTAAAATGTCATTTTCTTGAATTTATTTATACCGGAAAATCGTATTTTCCACATCGGTTTAAAATCGCACTTGTTTAGCAATCGATTTACGTTGTTATATTAATTGGAAAAGTAGTTTAAATATAGCAGTGATGCATAACGCGGAATTGCATAACAAAATAAACTTGAATTACGCGTCGAGGAAACTTAAAGTAGCTAAAATTGGAGCAGAGGGAAAACCTTAAAACTCGATGAGCAAATAATTAAGAAAGCGCGCAAACAGCGCGCCGGCAGCGAAGGCAGACGTCTCGAGTCGAAAGCTGGGGTAAGCAAACACGCGTTCCGGAAAGCGAACAACGCGCGAAAGCAGCATTCTTCGACTCATCAACAACAATCGTTTTAATTCGCTGCGAAAAATCGTGCGGTTTTTCTTCGTCTCTACCATTTTCCGTTTCCGGTGTCTTTTCATCCATCCAAATGCGCCTAGCTGCGCAAAATGAACAGTGAACACAGTGGTATTATTCTGTTTGGACAAATTTCGAGCACCGTTCGCGACTTAATTGCATACTAACCATAAAAAATAAAAAAGCATATTTTGCGCGAGTGTTTTCGTATTTTCAAAGTTTGTTTTCGTGCTAAGTTACGGTCGACAAAACGATGTGCGTTAACCGAGTGAAAATTTCCGCGGAGTCGAGAGGCAAGCCGAAAACGCGTCGGAAGTAAGTGGCACTTTGTTTCGCGACCGAACGCCTTTTACGACGCGGTCCTCTCCCAAAAGATATATATGTCCGGCGCGATAACACGCCGCTCGACCGTTACGCGAAATTGAGATTAAAAATGAGATTATTTCGGGTGTAAAATGTTTATCCCCGCCGCTGGCCCTCGAGGAGTGCTTATCCCGCGCTAAAGCCGAAGATATCGCCTCGGCAATCTTGGATTTGCACATGTAAACACACCACGGTTCACGGCAGCGGTGGCGGCGCATTCATTCGGTAATCTACAAGTAATATTTCACGCTACGTCCAATGCCAGCCAGATACACACTTAGACTATGCCGAGATAATATGATTACGCAAAGTGGGATATAATTAGAGCGAGCACCGTCATAAGACATCGCCTAATTTGCTCTCGTGCAGTGTGTGCATCGCGGGGGCGGTCGTGTACGTGCGCGGCTGATATCTGTCTTTCTGCATGTGTTATCGATCCGTTAATTCGGCTCTCCCGCCATGCGATGCGGAGATGGCAATTGCGCGAATTTTCGAACCGGCAACGAGATCACGAATGCAAGACGACATCGCGTACAGAATTTATACCAACTGATATACAGCTCACTCCGACAAACTAGCCCACACCAGAGTCACATCCGGTGGTTGGGACCAATCTGATTAGAACTACGTCCACAGATTAGTATCATAAAGAATAATCTTGAAATAGGTCAAATTTTAAAATCAGATTAATTAGTTATCAGTACATTAAAAGGTATATATAAACTTTTACTTATTAATTCACATTATGGTAAGTTTTAGTAGTAAACTACAATGGGATGGTGTAATAACATGGCATGTAGTTCATTAAACGCATTAATGAATATGGCGGACAGACAATTTGAACAACTGAACTAAAACAAGTTGGTACAACTATTTGGCACGTCAATTAAATACAAAATAACATGTGTATATCGACTCTATGTGTGAAAGTTTACAAAATGTTTAAATTAATATAACGCAGAAATATATTAATGTAATTAATTATTTATAATATAAATTCTGCTAGTGTAAATGCTGTAGTATATCAAAATAATAATTTATTACGTTTTTTTAATATTTTCAACATTATCGATTATCATTGGTGATGTGAAACTTGTAAATTCGCTTTGTAACTCTCGTTACGCTCAATTTTCGATAATAATAATTGATATATTTTACATCCGGAACGCGCAGCAATCAAGTTAATAATTCTATCAAACAACAAACAACTAACTAGAAACAGTGAGGTTCTGCACTTGCGTTGCACACCACACAATGCTCAGCCAGTGGTAAGCATTGAGAGGCCAATGTAAAATCAAAAGCTGGAACTTGCAAAAGCTGCAAGTTATTGGAATTTTGCGCGCCCATACGAGCCGAACTTTGTGCCTCATCACAACAGAGCATCGCATATAACGATTTGATTAAATTGCAACCATAACACACTTATTGAGTAAGCTCTTATTAGATTTTCTTCACCTCGCACCTTTTGATCAAGTTATGCATGCGTCATGATAATTTTATTGTAATAGTTTTGTTTTGATATAAAAATAGAATAAAAGGAATTTATTGATTAGTTATAATAATCCTTTGTGATTGGGTTTGGTATGATAATGGATACCTTTAAATAACAGTTTTATAACAAGTTTATAAAAAAAGTTATCCGGTAACGATTATTTTTCATCGACGGTTGATGTGAAGCCAGTCTAGTTCAGTTAAATATTGGATGTACGTGAATAATGTATAAGTTTTGATTTTGATGTTTTGCATAAATCAAGCTTAATTTATGTTTTGTTTGGCTTGAAAACTGTAAAAAATATTTACACGATGAAATAACTAATTGTGCGGCTGCTATCTAAATTGCGGCGAAAATAAATTAATGTTAATTAAGAATATGCACTGTTCTTTTGTGCCCGCGGCGAATGTTTATTCGCGTTGTATTCGCCCCATCTACGGCATGAAACACAAACCAGTTGTTTTCCTTTCTGGCAGCCACGACTGGTTTGTTCTCGTTTCCACATTTACTGGTCGAGTCCATTGTCTAAGTCTGCAGACCGCGCACACTGCGCTGATATTGTCAGTGCATCAGACTCTTGCGCTTATCAGATATAAAATCAGCGGCAGTGAGAGTTTGCCCCGCGACCAAACAGAACCCCACTGAATTTTTTTGCTTCACCCAAAAGGAAACCGCGCGCCCCCAGAATCAACTCGCTTTCGTCGATAAGTAGATAGATAGATTGATATCGCGTCGCTCTCGGTTTTGTTATCAGCAATTTGAAACGCGGCCAAATGTTTCTCGACTTTCTTCGGGCGAATTTTCCTCTGCATTTGAGTTCTTGGTTTGTTCCCTTATTCATTGGCAGTTTCTGAATTTCTTTTTTTTTCTGTTCGACACTGGAAAGCAACGACGCCGTGCGACCTTTTTGTGAGGTCGATGATGGTGGCTGTTGCAACTGATTGGAAATAAACCGGACCTCATCAAGGCGCGCGCGACCCAAACGTCGATAAATTTTTATTCTCCAATCGCGCAGCATATGCGTCCGTCGAGTTTGATGTTTATTTCACTACACGTTTCTTAACGTTTATTGAATCGTTCCAAACTACCGTCCGGCAAAGAATTTAAAACAAGTTAAGCACTATAATTCAATCTGTCAGCACTATTACCTTGACTAGGTGCTAATCTAATAAAGATTACATATGTAGCTTATTGTTTCTAACGCTTCATAATCTGATTCGATCATAATGTTATTCCAAATATTTGCTTTGGCAGATTTACCGTGCTGCCAATCTCGAATCTTGATGCACGTCGACACGTGATTACACGTTCAAAACTTCCAAGCACCAAACACCGCAAACAATTTCAACATAGTTTAATTATTGCACGCAGCGACCGCAAAAATATTTCATTTGACTGTTGAATGATGAAAGTGCTGGGAGTGGCAGATGAGCAATGAGCAAATAAAGTTGATGCGTTTAAATCTCTAATTGCTTTGTGCTGGTATTTAAATTAATCACAACCAATATTTATTCTATTGATTCGTGCGTATCAATAAATATAAAACAGGACAAATGTATGCAAGTTGCACGTGTTGCTTATGCAAGAGAACTTTTAAAGTAATTACACTAATCCATTAAATTATTGCGTTGAACGTGCCCCGCATTATTCACCCACCTATATGGAAAATGTCACGATACTTGCGTTCGTGTCAAGCGGAGATTGCGCAATATTTGACGATGATGGAAAATTAAGGAAAACGAAGATTAATTGAAGAACTTGAAAGTTCGCCACTCTCCAGTATCGCGCGAAGGTTCGGAAAAGCTGAATATTCAGAATCGTCTTGTTAATGTTTAGTTCAGTGCTTCTTGTTGACTCCTTGACGTGTTTCCGTTCCTACGCTATTCCTCTGCACGTGTCACACAGATGCCTAACTAGTGCCTGGCTTTACTGTTTGCAGGAAGACGAGCGCGCAACGTCGAGTCGAACAGCATCGCCGCGCAGGGAGATTTTAATCACGGTAAGTCGTTATCATAACTATAACTATTCCGTCTTGTGAGTAGGCGGGCCCCGAATTTCACCTTCCACCTCCGGGTGCAGCAGAACAAAGTAGCGCGAACCAGAGCACGACCTTTACATTTTGCTAATATGACTTTTCGCCTCCGGGGCTTGGGAGCCGAAAAGCAAAAACGAAAAAACTGCTATTGCTTTCATATAAAGCGGGTCTTATATGGATAATAAAAAAAGGTAACGAGATTAAGGCCTCTCTGCGCGCGTGGAGCACGTGGGAATGGGTTAATGCGAAGCGGGCACATTGAATACACAATGTTTGACCTCGGCGTCAACCCTACACTTCGGAGCAAACTCACAAGCAGTGTCTTTTAGTCTTTGTCGAAGAAAAATATCACTGAGTAGAGGTACAAGTAGATTGTTACAAAAATGACATTGATTGAATACATTTAACAAAATCTACAAAAATTTTCCTTTTTTAATGTTTCAAAGTCAAGTGTGCAATTGCTGTTCCTTTTAATTGTAATATACGATGACAACAAACGCCTACAACGATGCTCCAGTTTTTTTTTGTTTAACAAGAGCGGTAATAAAACATTGGATACCATCCCCAAAGGAAATTGATGTTGGCATGAATGTGTGCGGAAAAATTGTCTGTGCATTTTCTGCGCGCGTGAATATTGTGCGAAAATCAATTATACATTAACCCAGATATAGTGAGACTTGTGTACACTACGTGGATGCACCCTCTCTCAGTTTACGCTTACGATTGACTTTTTTATCTTTGCCACGCTTTTTGTTCACCAAGTTGCTTTTTAACTTCATGATATTGACGCAACGTGAATTTCAAACATATTTTTAGTCAAACGTATCAAAATCCATCGAGTACAACACAATTATTTTTCTGGGCAAACACACGTGACTTTTAATTAGTCTAACGTTTCATCTTGTTTGTTACGTTTGATTGATATTGTGATCATTAAAATTGTCGCTTCCTATTTCTATTATTATTAATTTCAGAAACAAATCGCTTTTTGCTTGAACTTAAATTAAAACGAGTAATCCTCTTTGCGTCTGCATTTTCCCGTCATATTAGCATATGAACAGGTATGCACAAATCATTAGAGTCCCGAATACGTTTTGATCAAAGTGCTTTCAATTGAAACGCAAATCCATCAGCGAGATGCACTGTGCGGGTGAAACTTAAGAAGCATTCACAAATGCTTCCAGAGAAATAAGCTTAACACAATACATGTTTTAGTACGCGCTCTTGATTGAATTAATTATAGATTGACGAGTGCACTACGTAACCTCAAACATACTATCAACTAAATAAATATGCAAAATTAACAAACTGCATACCAAATAAAAATTTTATCAGAAGATGTTCTCCAGTGGTGTAAAATTAAAGGTATCAATTTTTCAGTCTGAAGTGAATTGCGGTGTGCATTCTCTTGGACAATAGCAGGATTTAGCTGTTATAGATCATGTCCGCTGGCCATACGTGCAAATTTGGCATGCGATTCTCTGAGCTAGCCGACTATCAACAAATACTAGCCTCTGCTCGAAGCGACGATAGTCTTAAAACATGAATGCTCACATTCAAACGGCTGAATCGGAGAATCGAAGCCCGACTGACCGAACCAACGCCACATTCCGCGGCTATTTACGAGAACGGCGTATTCCGTGCATGTTCATTGTGTGCGCAAATACGCCCGTTCAATTCACTAGTTGACTGCCTGCATACCCTCCTGAAAAGATACGCGCCTCCGGCCCATTTGCCATGTTCGTTTTTCCGGTTGCCGCACGGACGAACCCAACCGTGTCGAGCGTATTGGCGCATTCGACGAAAGAAGTTAAAAATTTTATGGACCGCCATTCGAATATTCCTCCAGAGAGTGCCATGCACTGGCACAATTAGGAATTTTAAACTTTATAGCAATTTTTCATATTGTGAGCACTTGACAAGAATTGCATTCTGAATGATTTATCATTGTATCCAGTTTGAAGTACAAAATTTTAAATTAATTTATTGTTCGGTTTCTCTTTCTGATTGAAAAATAAGTTCCACTCGTAAAATTTTCAACTACATATTCAATTCTCCGTTTTTAACTCACATAAATTGGCGTACTTGTTTTTTTACCTGCATTGCAAAAAAAGTTTGGAGTTTATGACTCTATCGACCCTGCTCTCGTTACTAACGGAGCAATACATTAATGCACCGGAATGATGGAAATGCTGAAGTGGAAAAATGTCGAAACCACGAAATATACCTAATATAATATACATAATTTTCAAGTATGCAAATACACTCTGTAGCGCAAAGAGAGTCTTTTATGTAGATTTTTTCTCAGAGTGCGACGAGATGGTGGCGGCGCCGGGCAAGGCAGCACGTTACGAAATGAAGTCGTTCGAATTAATGCCACGCGCAACAGGAAAAAGAAATGCAAAGAATGCGACGCGCGCGCACGTCTTTATTGTGCACCTCAGCGTGGTGGAGCTTTTTTGTTTCGGTTATCGCCGAGCGCATTTTGCGTATAATTAATGCAAAAACGAGTGTCGAGATAATGAGAGTGCATTTTTTTGTGTCGGCCGCAACAAACAAGCCATTTTATGTGAAGTATATAATTCCACTAAAGCTATGCGAGTGTTTTAGTTAATAACAATTTGTTTTTGTCGGTTGCTACGACCTGTACAGGAAAAAATATGAAATATTTTACGTGTATTACAATACACTAACTGGTAGTGACCAAGAGGGGGAAAGAAGCAAGTCGCGAGCTTAATCCGAGTTAAGATAATACGAAGTTACAGCGCATTTAACACAACATCGAGATTCGGTCCGGGCTGTTTTCTGTTTAGCCCTCGTCGAAGTTGTTACGTGCGCAACGACGAGAGCGGATCAGCTCGGGAGTCGTGTTATTCATTTGGCGAGTTCGAGGATCGGTTCGCCGGTTCGCCAGCGCGGCGGTAAGACTACTCGGCACGCTCGAGCGACTTCCACATTTCACAGCATCCTCCACGAGTAAGACCCTTATCATTCTATTAGTGCGTGAAAGCCTCGTTCGAGCTTAGAGCGGCAAACACATACTATACATCCGGCGTTTTTCTTGTCATGCCTAGGTAAAAAGCAGAAGCGTTGGACCAGTTGGAATATGTGCACGATCAGCATATTTTTAATGATTTGCCAGTTTCCCCAATCTCACAAATGCACGTTTTGCAATAAAAGAATAAAAAGCGGCGTAGCAAGATTTATTATTTTCAATTTAATTTGTTAGATAGAAGCAAATTTGGTGTTTTATGGGTCAATGTTGTCGAGCAATTATTTCCGCCAGCTGTGTGTCTGCATTGCTGCTGATTAATATTAAAGTTCCAACTCGTTCCAGGAGGTCTGGTTCGAGGTCCTTGGACGGTCGTTGCGTTGTTGTTTTGTATCGCCGGGAGTTTTATATGGGCATAGTGTGAGCGCCACCGGTGATGTTTTATGCATGTAAAGGGCGGAAGCACGCCAGTGCGCACCTTCTTGCCACCTTCTTTCCTCGGCGGGGGTTGAATGTGGAGCGGAACGATCTTCGGCTCAGAGGCAAATTTGCAAAACGCTAAAATTGCAAGATATTTAATTATGATTTTCGCAAAGTTCATAAGTAATGCATGGCGTTCGGAAATAAAGTCGCGATTCGGTCCCGTGGGCAATTAATCCCAGCCAGGCGGAGCGGGTCCTTAGGCGTCCCAACCTACCCCTACCATTCTACGCTTTGAAAACGTCCTAATGATGAAGTTAAAACAGTTCGCGTTTGCTGTGGAGCAAGGTCGGGCACATTTGTGGCAGAATTTAGATTTTGACTTCGACGAACTAACTTCTACTTAAAATATACAGTTTGTTTACAAAATCCATAGAAAAATTCTACATCTCAAAGATTCTATGTCTACAGTTTAGTAGTGGTTTAATACGATTTAAAACAAAGCCGTTCAAAAACTTATCACAGGTGTTTTAGAGGATTTACAGGATAACACCCATGAGCTAAGCATGAGCAGTGTCAATAAATCACGATAAACACATGTGATCGTTGGCGAATTTAACACGCTTCACGAATTCGGAAAGGTTTACAAATTTAGCACATCCTACAAATTTAATGCCTACAAACCGCGCGCTCTGCATAAACGTGAGAATAAACTGACCATGCGTAACACGTACTCAACTCACATCAAATGTCTTTCGCGCACATTTGTAACAAACGGTATGAATTCCCGAAACGTGTCTCGCGTGGTTGGCGCCCGGGCCACTCCACTAAACGGGTGCATAACTGACGTGCCTTATTTATGGCTGGAGGTAATGAAATGTTAGCGGTAGAAGCGGCGCGCCGCGAGCCTGCCGCCGTAATGAATAATGATGGTTTGTAATGCCTTTTCCAGAGATGTCATTTCCGCGATTCGCCGAGAATATTTCCAACGTGACAGTGACGGTGGGACGCGACGCTCTTCTGGCTTGCGTGGTCGACAACCTACGGGGATTCAAGGTGAGTGCACCTCTTACATTCATGAAGAGTTTCCAGAATTTTCCGCGCGTGTGTCAGTGTGTGTGGGTGTGTCGGGGTGATGGATTGCCTTAGGAAGGATTATTGGATCGCGCACGGCGCGAAAACGCCGAGGGACCTGCGACGCGCTCGTGAAATCGAGTTTCTTTGTCTGTGTGCGGAGGACGCAAAATAACCGACCGCGCGATACGAAGCTACACTATCAAGTCTTAAGGAAGTGGAGCCAAACCTAAGCAAGCGGAAAAGGACGTGAGACAACGAAGTGAGCTCGAGGCTGGAAATGCACCCAGGTCTGGAGGAAGCCGCTTTAGCATCACAGGCCCCGAAGATTTATGCGAGTCGCTTTTCGAATCGATTTCATGCATCAATTGAAAAATAATAACATTAGTGTACAACCAGTCCATATATAAACAATAAGACACTAGGAAGGTAAAAGGGATGTGCTGGGTGCGAGTGGGCGACGATCCGAAGAAAACAAACTCGAAAATGGAAGTGCGATTTGCCCTAGACCCCAACACAGGAGGAATAGTCATACCGCCGCTGGTCTTAGCGTGGAAAAAAAGGAGTGAGGAATTGTTCGTGAGTTGAATTCGCTGCGGGGGCTTTCTTTCTCTGCTACCTTCGCCGCTGGGTGTATGTGTGTTATTTTTTTCTCTACTTCTACTCCGGAGGTCTCGACAGACTAGGAGGACGTGCGCAGTTTCTCTGATTCCCAGATACATCGTGAGGGCATGTTTTCATTTTACTTCCGTATATCGGATCAGTTGCCGAACAGTGCGGAACGCGACTACCCTTTACATCATCAGTTACTTTATCAATTGCAGTGCAGTGCACTTCACAACTAACCAAGACTATAATAAAAAAAATAACGAAAACAGATGAGTGGTATCATTTTGCAGGTCGCTTGGGTACGAGTCGACACGCAAACCATTCTATCAATCCACCACAACGTCATCACACAGAACCCGCGCATCACCCTCAGCCATAACGACCATCGCTCATGGTACTTGCACATCCGCAACGTGCAGGAGACGGACAGGGGCTGGTACATGTGTCAGGTCAACACGGACCCGATGAGGAGCCGCAAGGGATATCTACAAGTAGTAGGTGGGTCTCATAACGCGCACTGGTTTTTCCAGCAAGTTTTTGTTCGCACACTCCTCGATCCGCATTCAGCATCCATCCGGGGTGATACAATGAGAAAAGAAAGAGCAACCACGTTGTTGCCATTTGGCTGCTATTGCTGGCGGTGATGCCACCAGTCGTCCGGTTGATGTATAAAAGCGACATTGCCATGTGCTATATATACACACACTTCGCTATGCCACATAACCGACACAAATTAATTATTTTTTGTTTTCGTTTTCATTGTGTGCCGCCCGCAATTTATAATACCGAGGATCTGCTTCGGACACCTGAATTTCCCGCTATCGTTTCGCTGTTTGGACGTGCTTCATTTTTTCAACGCGTGGATTTTTTTTTGTATTTGTTTTTAGACATGAATGCAAGCTGCCACAAGGCAAAACGTGTATTTTTTAAATTTTAAACAATCAGCGCCGACAAATTTAATAACTCAATTTATTTTCCGCTGTGCATATGCGAGGATGTGCTTCAAAAGTGTGGCCATTTTTCATTCCCGCCACAATCACCTCACTAACCTCAAACACAGAAACATGGTGGTATTTTAACGACAAATATTTTGGCAACAGACATGTCACCAACATATATTTTTAAAATTTTTGAATAAAAATATAAATTTTTTTTTCGTTTGTTTTTATTTATGCAAATATTTTGTTTGAATACGATTATAGTACCTCCAAGTATAGTCGATCGTGAGACAAGCTCCGACATGGTGGTTTTAGAATCTACGAATGTTTCACTGACGTGCAAGGCGACTGGGTATCCCGAACCGTACGTTATGTGGCGACGCGAAGACGGAGAGAACTATCGCTACAACGGCGAAAACGGTAAGCCTCTGTCGACTTGAGCTCAAAAACGTATAAAACATAATCGGCTCTTGTTATGTTTGTTATTCTCCGCAGTGAATGTTGTAGATGGTGAGGTCTTGTTCATAACAAAAGTAAGCAGGTTACATATGGCGAACTATCTCTGCATTGCATCCAACGGAGTACCTCCTTCTATCAGTAAACGCGTTCAACTGCGCGTGCAATGTAAGTACTAAATTCTGATTAAAAGCACAGGTATTAATTGAATAGAAACTTCAACGTTTTTTTTGTGTGTATGTCTTGAGAATGTGTTATTCAAAACGGTGAATATCTTCGTTTGTAGCTTATCACTAATTCATAAACTTCGATTTTACATACAGCACACCCCTCGGTTTTTCGGTGGTGCGCGATAACGTGCGAGGGTGCATAGCAAAAGCAATGATCTACAACGCAAACTCATAATGTCGAGGCTTTAGCGAGAAGAGATACGCGGGACGTGCACACGTCGCACGCAAAATACGATCGAGACGTTTTCCTCAGTCGAAAATCGCTGAATAAAATGTCGCTTCGCATTTGATTGCTGTGTGCATTTCGCAAAGGAAACCAAATTCAAATGGCGTGTGTGTTGCACGAGAAGCAATTTTCAGTATCAGTTTTGTATCAGTTTCACAATGCACAATTCTGTAGTGTATTTCGCCTGCGGACGAAAGTGGCGCGCGTGTATGTAAAATGAGGTAATTTGCTTTTTGCACAGTTCCGCCGATGCTGACGATACCGAATCAACTCGAGGGCGCCTATGTCGGGCAAGACGTCGCGCTGGAGTGCCACACGGAAGCCTTTCCGACTTCAATCAACTACTGGACGACCGAACGGGGCGACATGATCATCTCCGGCAGTAAGTAGCAAAAAATATGTGTGTCCAGCGCGTCTGGCCAACAATAGCACCCTCTCTCGAGCTCTGGAGTTGGCTCGTCAAGTAATAGAAACCTCATTCAATCGGCGTAAATTTGTCGCGCAAACAAAAACCTTGGATGGCTGGTTCTGCTGGCAGCGCTAGTGCACTGTAGGGCGTCGAATAGGCCCACATCAATCAAGCGTTGAGCGCGTTGTGGAAAAAATTAGGTCGTAATGGTAAAAAATGGTTGCAGCTCGATGTGCGCTATTCGTTCCTCTCTAGCGCTCCCCCAACCGTATGTAAACAATTGTTCTGCTCGGGGCTCGGAAAACTTTTCGGTGATTAACGATTCCGTTTTGATTTATACGCCGCACCATTGATCAATCAAACTAGAAGTGTGCAGAGCGCGCGAGCGGAACATGCAAGTCCACTTTAAAACAATCTTGCGCGGTGATGGCGGCGGAAAGATGTGGCATGTCAACCGGAAGCGCCTCAATTAAACCTCAATTAATTAATAGCTTTCAGCGTGGTCGAAGTGGTTTTCAACTAATTTTGACCCACCTTTCACATTGCAAATATTCAAATTTATCAATTCCGATACCAGAATAGAATCGAGAGGAGGTGCCATCGAAGCAAATTGCACTCTGGAGGTGATGTTTTGTTTGTCATGTATCCGTGCACTGTTTTCGCAGGCGATAAATACGAGGCGGTTTCCGTCGACAATGGCTACAAGAAGTACATGATGTTGAAGATTCGCAACGTTGCGCAGACTGATTTCGGATCGTACAAATGCGTCGCAAAGAACAGTTTGGGCGAGACGGACGGCGTAATCAAATTAGAAGGTGGGTCAAGTTGAAAATAAGTTTTTATTGTGCATTTCATCTCATTCGTGTGAAATTCCATTTTTGTTATGGGGAAGATTTTTAGTTTTGTTCTTGGAAAAAGAGTTGCATGCTGTTTTATTCAGGAGAAGTGACTTGAAACTTGTGATGCATCCCTCATCCAATTGTCTCTGTGTGCCGCGTCGAACAAAGCGGTATTGCTACATTATGCTGATGCAATTTCAGAAATCCCAGCTCCTACAACAATAAGAACGACAACCCATTTGCCGACAATGGTACCGAAAAAGAAAGGTACGAGATAATGTGCATGAATAAACATTTGTGCAAATGAACGAGCCACTTTTATGAGTACACAAAACCGCCACTGGCAAGAGGCGCCGTCGGCGGCACCATACTTCGAATTTATTAGTTCCGTCTGAAAAAATAAACTTTCAAGTAATTCTCGTACGTTTGCATGCGTATGCATATCTGCAAAACATCTTAAGTCTAATAAGTCTAAAATTCGCAATTTTTCCAATGGGACGCGATGTAAAAATTGACCTCGTTGTCTTTTATTACCCACTTGGTTGAGCGTCTCATGCCAGAAGACATAGATCATATTCCACATCTCTCCAACATTCATCCATCTGTTTGTAGATGACCAATAATATTTATGTTCAGGTCGGGTGCGCGTCGGCGACCGGCGTGAACGCGGAGGCGGCGTTGACGACAACCGTGTAATTGCTGGAAAAACCGACGTCGGCATCCACCAAGGTGATGAATTGACCCCCTCTTGAACATTCTTCCCTTTCTTTCACTTGAACATCTTAATCTTAACTAGAATTTTAGCCCAAATGCATCTCGGTCAAACCAGTTTATAATTTATACGCAGATTTAAAAGAAGAAGGATTGTTGTTCTGAAAATTTAAATTCTGAATGGCATACCTTCAATATTATTGTATAATTTCTGATTGAATTGTTGTTTTTGTTACAGAATATGACTACGAAGGCGACGGCGAGTTTACACTCCCATCACACCGCCCCTCGGTGATTCGGGAACCGCCAGGGGCGTACAGTGGCATTGGCACCGGCTCCAAAATATCCCCGAGTGCGACCTTCACAGCCCTCGTAGTTTACGCATTAGTGCTGTGCCTGAGGTGATCCTACGGATCCGGCATCCTCTAAACAAAGACATTTTTTACATATCCAGCTCCTGAGACTGACTGAAACGCCTTGCATCACTCTGCAAGCGGTATGCATGTAATAAACTTACCACGAAGCTAACCAGACGTGTTGTAAATAATGTATAAATATATCAAGTGTGTTTAATAAAATGCGACGCTGACGTGGCTGGCGATAAATGGTGCAAATGCTGGTTTGCATCTCGTGTGTACATATAACCATGATTCCTACAAGACGCAAAGCTATGCAAAACGCAAAATTGTAACAGAATTAAAACAAAAATGCATTAAACATATTTAAAAACATGATCATAAACCAAAAAAACTAATGGATAAGTCGCCCGCTCTGTCTTTAGTGTTGTTTTAATTTGGTTTCATCTTCTAATCGAAGAGAGGAACATTCCAACATGAAAAAAACGCTAGAACTGCCTCAATTGTGAGTAGTACGTGTGATATTGAATCGAGCAAAAATGTATCTTAGCTAAAGTATTATATATTGTAATCAATCGGTGAATAAAGTTTAAAAGGTATATGTAAATAATGTATTAATCTATCATTGAACCCAGTTAAGTTTTCAGCTTGGTAAGTATTATAATGTCTACTAAAAATCACAATTTTGAACGTGAAGTGCTTGACTTTATTTTTATTGAGAGGGGAGATGAATTTTTAGACTTCTCGCGCGCTGTTTGCGTACACGCGCGGATCGAATTCGAGACGTAATATCGGCGTGTGTGTACTTTAAAACGAAATCCCAGCAATATCGTCGCACGATTTCCAGCATTTGCAGTAATATCTCGCCGCTTTTTATTGAAGGGGTAGCCACCCTGTGCTTTTCTTTAGTGCTCCCAGATGGTTCCCAACCTGAACCTGCTGCTGACTTCTGTATTCGTACGACGTGTGCACACTTGGTCGTAAACAAGGGCGCAAACATTTCAGTAAAATATTTAACGAAAATAATAGTAGAGTCATGTAGATCAGAGATTTTCCAAAAGGGCGACACAATCCCTGTTATCTTTTAGCTTTGCCTAGTGTTTCTTTGAGTGTTATTTGCTCTGCATAAAGGAAACAACTGGAAAAAATTGAACACACAGTGACAATGAATAAAATGTTTTGCTTTGTAGTTGTTGAAAGTGTTAGTGTTCGTTTTTGTGTGTATATCAAGACGCGCTTCCATCGGATTATCGGATTTCATTTTCCTAACGCAATTTTCGGGACAATCCCTTAACGGCTGGTTTTCCAACTTGTTCCCTATTGCCTGTTCGGTAAAGTTTGAGGCGCTTTTCTGTAGTGCGCGTAAATGAAAATCGCAATTAGAGTTGTGGTCGTCGTCGGACTGCCCCGCGTATAAATATCCCAGCTACAGAGGATGGTGTACATCGAAAACTGCATTATTAACTAGTCCGAGATGTAATTAGGATATCACGAAGTCGACGAGTGTGCCGCACTACGTTTTGCCACTCTATTCCCCAAAGGAGTCGAGGCGAAATAACGGCCGGGCGGAAACTCTGAGCTCGTTTCTTAAACTACCGGCATGCTGCTGGCCGCCCTGACAGCGCCAGATTTGCGGTCGTGTTTTTCCCGAATGCGAATTTACCGAATGGGCGCCACCTTCTAAATAATTTACGCCCTGCACGTTCGCATCGACATCAAATCTCGTTCCATTATCGGGACGCCCGGACATGATCTACAAATTTGTGAACTAAACAAACCAGTCTCAGCGCCACAGCAAACCAACACAACAAATCACATGTTGATTAATTCCTTACTCATGACAACAACGCTAACAACGTGTAAGAAATAGTAATTTATTAAAGACACTCACCAGATTCTGTGTACTTAGTCCTGGGTTGATCTGCATATGTCGTATGTAGTTTTGAAGACTGCGCTCGTCGCGTCAGACCTTTAATTTTAATTTGCCCTCGGGATGTAATTCATTATTATGCATGAGCTACGGTGGAATTCGTGTGCGGGTGCGAGAACAGATTGGTCCGCATGCGGAAGAGGGAACTTTGGATAAGGCTCGCTGAGGCGGTGACGGGTGTTGGCGAGCAAGGTAGCACCGTGAAATGGAGCTGCTTTGCTCTGCCGAACGATACTGTAATCGAGTCCAATAAACAAAGTCGACGGCGAAGCGTTGGCGTCGCGAATGCCGCCTGGGTAGTTAGACAATTATACCGGCGGAAAGATGGAATTGCGCAGAGTTTTCTCTACGTTGGAGTGTGAGAGGGTTTTGGTAACCAACACACATTTCTGCTCGGAAGTAAATCGAATGCATTACGACCTATATGCAATGCAAAACAATCTATTGTACGAGTATGTGCATGAAGCAAAGAGGATTCAAACACGAACTGCTGGTGCTGCATTAATAAATACCTACTTTGTAATATGTGAAAATATGACATTTCTAACAGCTTTCAGAATAAACTAGAACAAACTTATACTATTATTAAACAAAAATAAGATTTAAGATTACATTGTAAAACACAAGTTGCACTTGCAGAGATACCAGGGAACCAATATAAACCTCCCATATTCAATCTGTCAACATGGATTGCTGTTCCCGAACGACTTGACAGCACCTGACAGCCGGCATCGACTCCCGGCGGGAATTTATGAGTAATGGTTTTTCCGCCACGAAGCGACACGGAAACAACGTGTACTCGCACCTTCGGGGCAAAGTTCTTTACGCCACCGGATGCCCCCGTTGCTCTGCGCACGCGTTTCTCAAAAATTCTACACTACTCGAGCAATCGCACTCGATTCACGCCGTTTAATGGCCTTTTTGCTTGTTGTCATCAACGTCACGCATGCGAATTGACAAGCCATTAGCACTTATTCAGATCCTGCCATTAAGTACCCGGCGAGTTTTAAAATATTTGTGTCAAGAAATATCATTATTCTGTCAAGCAACCCTAATGTATCGCATCAGTCAAAACGCAATTAGCGCGGCTAATATGAAGTAGAGCAAAAAAATCCGTCGGAGGTCAGACGCAGTCTGAGCGCGCGAGAAGCACATGTTGAAGAAAATCAATTTTCCGGAGCTTAGGGACGCTTCTAATGGACTCGGACAACACTCCGACTCTTTGTCATTCTTTCCGAGCAAATAGATTAATCAAGATCGCCACTTGCCGCACGTTTGAGCGGCGTGCCACGCCGGGGGATTGGTGGCAAACATTAACACAATATTGGATCCGTTTTCGTTGCCTCGCATTCGAAGTGCACACCAGCCAAAACCCAAATTACATTTTTTCCACTTGAATTAATTGTTATTGTTCGTGGCGCTGTGCGGCGGCGGCGCTGGGAGTACTCTTTTTGTTCTTGCGACAGGGTTCAGGCACGAAGGTCTGGCTGCTAACCAAACAAATAAATCGACTGCCCTCTGACCACTCTTCATTCTGCTACACGCTGGCCGCAGCATACAGGTCCTTTCAAATGGCCTCTACTCTCCTTGGGAGCTGGAGTGTTCTCCGATGAAATCACAGCGGGAAACAACTGGTATCGAGGGGTTTCCGAGTGTTGGAAGAAATTTATTGCGAGTCAACGATCGCAACCGTAACGAGACCGATTAATCTTATCGCTAATTCGTAATAATCTGAGCGAACCACACCGGGCACGCACGACATGCCGCATTGAGGAAATTGAGTGATAATCGTTCTACATAATTTCACAATGAAGATTGCACACCCTCGCATATTCATTAAAATTGAATTATGGTAGCGAGCCGCTCTGTGCTCTCTGTGCTTAGGGCTGAATGGAGTAGCATGAAAGCGAGAGGGTGGATTGCGTGCGCGTGCGATTTAATTCAGCCGCGAGGCGCGCACCGCGCTTCCGGAAAAATGTGTTCGAGATCTGATTGTGCTAATAGTGTTTGTTTTGCTTGATATCCCAAGTTTGGGATGCTTTGTGCTTATGTTTGCCGCACAAGCACCACCCAAGGCAATAATTAAAGGTTCCTATTTCCTATTAATTATAATGCAGTAATCTGACAAGATAAACAGCACTATCCAGTTAATAGAATCGATTTTACAAATGCAATTAATATTCTCACACCAATCAAATTAAAATGGTCAACGTTTGAAGGGCGTGAAGGCTTCACTGCACACCTTTGCTGGTTGACTCATTAATAAGACGTGATGAATGGCCGAGGTGCACAAGCATGGCGTGTGCATGTTGGAGGGCGACTGGCGGCGGCTGAGCGAAGTGAATTAGGGTAAGTAAGTAGCTTCAACAAGTGTAGCCGCCCTGCGTTCTTGTGGCTCGGAGATTTCGCCGTGGCACGCCATCACGTTGGCCTCGCGCTCGCCGCCATCCATTATACAAGCCAGACAATTTATTTTCCTTAGCTCAAACAGAAGATCTTGAATATTGCATTGTGCCTTTATCCGTCCGGCGTCGGCGCACCGCTTCGTTATATAACACCCCGGGAAGAACGCCAGAAATGAGCAGTGAATTTCACTTCGCCGAGAGAAAATAATGGGCGGCCAAATTAAACAGGAGCGGGTGGAGGACCATAGAGAATATGGAGTGCGCCAGCAAAATAAAAAATACATAAAAAGATCCCAGCCAGGAGAAAAATGGAAAAGCGCAAAAGTATGCTGAACATTTGAGATTTTGACTTTCCCCGTGAAGATTTGCACCGGCTGGTAACAAACTATTGCTGTTGTTTTTCTTTATTTTTTTAACGAGCGAACATGTTCGACGCACCCATGCCACTCGACATGACGTCTCGAGTACAACACAAACTGCTCACATCCCCGTGAGAGCGCCGAGTTTACTTTTCCTACCACGTCGTGATTCTATTGTTGTGTGGAACGTGTGTCAAGGCGGATTTCCACGCTGCGACAGTTGACTGCGTGCCCCGCGGGAGCGGGACTCAGGATGATTTGTGGTGGCCAGCGGCGGCGACGGCGGTGTGCAGACGGTGCGCGACGCTCGCGCTGACGCTTACCAATATCCGTCTGCTGGCGCTACTTGATCCTCTCGGCGAGTCCGCCACTTCGTATTTATCAGATGAAAGATGGCTTAACGAATCGGCATCTGGACGCATTCCGAGCATCGCCCGCTGGAATCTTACAGCTATCGATGGACTATTAGTTTCTGCCGGGTAAAGGGCGAATGGCACGTCTGGTGTCACTGCAAGCCGCTTGTTCAGGGTCATCCCAGTGTGATCTCCGGTAACCCTTACCGAACTAATATGATGCTGAGGGCGTGCTGCACGATCGAGTTTTTGCTGGTAAAAAAGCGCGAGAGGCGATTTTTTGATAAATCGCAAACCTCCCGAGATGCACGACGCGCGGATAAGAAGTATAGGCAATAGTTTCGTAGATAGCAGGCATAAATCTTCGAATTCGATCTGGAGAGGACCATAAATCGCACCTGGTGATCGAGAATAACGTTAACCGGCCTCACTAGCAAACGCGCCTGGATGCAAAGCAATGTGCCTTCGCACCTTGTCGCCACACCGCCCCCTTGCGTTCCGCATCGCACGGCTGCTTATAATGCGACGCTCGGAATAGAAAACAGATCCCACGGTAATTCAGT